TTCTTTTTTAATTATGGGCAAGAATCTACCCTATGATACACAACTTTGACTACAAGCGGGAGTTGAACATGAGGATCTGTGGGAAGAATTCGTCCCTAAGAATTTAGAGGAAGAAACTTCAGTGAACCAAATACAATGCATTTATAATGACATAGATTACAAAGAATTTTTTAATTATATTTTTAAATTAAATGTAATGTATTTTAATAAGGGCATCTTATGCTTCTCTTTTTCATCATATGTACAAAGTAAGGTTAAATATTGGATACAGTTTATATGAAGTAATTCCTCTTTTACTGGTATTTTAAAGTGGCTATCCCTCTGATCCTATTACTATTTATTAATTTGACCAAGTGTACCAATTTTACTGCTTATCAACGACAGTCATCTTAATACATTATTTTAATCAATATTTTACAGCTAGTCATCCACATCCCGGTATCCGTGCCAATGAAATGAACAATGGTGTTCTCTACAGTGGACAAGAACCAAGAATTTAAGTAATTCAGTTCCCTTCTTGGCATTAACAATTTGTGTCTATGCCAGCAGAGATATTCAAAGCAAATCGAGGGCAATCTTGCTGAGAAAGCATGAGTTAGATTTTTCAAACCACTCTGCTACTGACCACTGTCAACAAAAATACTATGTCATATCCTGGGCAAAAAATTAGAAACTGCAAATTCATGCCACATACTTTAATACTAACAGCAACAACAACTGCCTCCACAGTTAAACAAATTATTAAGAAATGCTGAACTTAATGAAACCGGGATGGGGTGCCATAGTGAAACCAAGGAGAACAGTCACTTCAAAACACTTAACAGAAAACCTATATACACTAGTACAATGGTCAACCATTTTTCATGGTACAATACGTCTTTTAAATCACTTACCCGAGCTACACTTCTAGAAGAATAAAACCTCTAGTAACAATTAGCTGTAATATTTTCCTGGCAAGGCTAAAGCACACTGATACTAATTGCACATTGACACAATAAGAAATAGTGACCTAGTTCCATGTTTAGAAGCTTTTCTTAAAAATTAACTTCATTTTAGTTCATAATATGAGGTATGTGTACCCTTCAAGCTGGGGGGTGTAATTTCCAGTTGGAGGAGACATACTTGTGCTAGCTCTCATTGAGCTAATGCACTAAAAATAGAGTGTAGCCATGGCAATGCCTGTGGTGGGACAGGCTAGCTGCCCACCTCAGACCCTACACACGTTCTCGGGGCAGCTAGCCCTTCCCACTGCTCATGCTGCCATGGTGCACACACTATTTTCAGCCCACTATCTTGATGAGAGCTAGTGTAAGTATGTCTCCTCCAGCTGGGAATTACACCCCCAGCTCGAAGTGTTGATGTAACCATGGAGAAAAAGAATTCAAAATTAGATCACAGTAGTATGTATTAGAAAGACAGATAGAATCCCCCCAATTGAGCACTCGCTGAAGAGCAACACACTCACTAAACAGATTTTTCTCCTTGTGTCAGAAGTGAAAGAATCTGATACAGATCGAAAACGGAGGAGATTGATTTTAGGGGAGAAAATACCAAACTTTCCATTGCTTTCAGACAGCCTTTAAACTGACATGGATTTGAAGTGGTAGGAATAGACATCCTGGCTAAAAGAGCTGCAGCCAAACATTTAAGAGATATAATAGCTCCAACTACAGACCAACAAAGCAATAAATTAAACCCTACTTAATATACTTATATGTCATCTAATTTAATTTTTGTAAACCATATTGGCTATGTTGTAATTGCTCTGGAGAGCAGTACCTTTGCTTCTCCCCAACGCTAGTTACAATCAGAAACCCAAATCCTGGAGTCTTTACTCAGTCAAAACAGGGTCTTTACTTAAGTAAGGAGATCAGGATTTAGCCCAGAATCTCTAAACCCTTGGTTCTCTTTTGCAAGCAAGGTAGAAGATGAGATCTCAATATATTAACCTAATCTGTGTTTTTATCTCAATGATGAAATGACAGGTTTACTGACTTTTTTTACTATGCTGCCTTTTCTGCTGTAAGCTAAGATAAAACTAACCCCTAAAGTTTCCATTGGACTAAAAATAATAATAATAAAAAAAAAACTTGGAACTGGTGCAGCAATGTTGACGTAGCTTTGGTATGGCAACATCTCTGGCAGCTGAGTACCACTCCTGAGAAAATGGAATGGTTACAAAATCCCTACATACTTCTTTTGAGTAAAGCATGTAATTCAGATCTCTTTTTGGTTCCATTTGAAGTTTACATGCTGACGCTGCATCCCCATTTTTCTTTTTTCAGCCATACAGAATAAAATTCTGCAATCTCTTCATAATTTTGTATATTACCATTTTAAGGCCTGATTCCTATCCCATTTGTGCAGCTTTCTTACAGACTTCAACAAGGTTAAAAAAAAAAAAAAAGAAAGTTTGCAAATCACTGCTTCCTCAGCCCCCAAGCGTGTGCAAATATTATCTTCTCCACTGTATATTTCCAGGAGGAATTTTTTTAAAACGACTTCAAAGTAAGAAGTGAGGGCATTGGTCTTCTCATTTTGTTCACTATACAATATAAAAACTGAACCTGTATTCATTTATTTTAACAGTATGTGAATTAGACCTCCTTCATACATCCTGTTTTGTAAATTCTGTGATCAATCTGAGATTTCTATCACCTTGGTATCTGACTGGACAACTATGAACAATTACTAAGAACGCTTGGTAAAGGAGACTGTACATTTCAAGATAAACAATGCACTCTGCTGAAAACTAGACGCCCTACTTTTTGAGAGAGGATTTGGTGTCCTAGAATTTGAACCAGCTGATTCATCTATGTGCTGCTTAGACCATTTAAAGTACCAGAAGGGGAAGGGCAACACTTTATTTGGCAACACAGCCCCGATTCTGTCACGTGGGAGGAACTCTGAGTGTGTGCAGATCTCCCATAATCTAACAGGGCTTTACACAGAAGCAGAAGTCTGGGAACAGTGAGGATCCAGGCCATAGCTTTTCATGGCTAATACCATAATAACAGTAATTTGCACTTATACAGCACCTTCCATCCTAACTACCCTGGGAAAAGGGTCTACTCAAGGTTTATGATCCACTTAGGTCCTGTACTAACCCTCTATACAGCAGTGAATTTCACCCTCAGTGATTGTATAAACATTAATGTATTAAGCCTCTAACGAATCCTATGAGGCATCATCTGCATACTATAGAAAAGGAAACCAAGACATTGAGAAGTGTTTTGCCCAAGATCACATGTCAGACATATAGATGGGAAGTGAACCTTGATTTGAACCTCATTTTTGTGCTCCAATCACTAGACAATGGTACTTATTTTTCCTTTAAATGACTTAGTAGTTAGAAACTTAAGTATCATACAACGATTGCTTTAGGAGACAGAATTAGCCATGCATATATCTTGCCTCTACATGGTTTTACCATAGGATGAGTTTTATAATCTTACTCACATTGGAGTAATACCTTAGTCTGTGAGTAATCCCATTGATTTCAGTGGGGCTATTCATAGACTAAGACATACTCAATATGATGAGTAAGGGTGACAGAATCTAGTCCTATAAAACGATATGGGCAACAGTTGTATAGAAAGAACAAAAACAACGAGGAGTCGTGGCACCTTAGAGTAACAAATTTATTTGGGCATAAGCTTTCGTGGGCTAAGACCCACTTCATCAGATGCATGGAGTGGAAAATACAGTAGCAAGTACATATACACAGTACATGAAAAGATGGGAGTTGCCTTACCAAGTGGGGGGTCAGTGCTAACAAGACAATTCAATTAAAGTGGAAGTAGACTATTCTCAACAGTAGAATACCAACGGAGGAAAAATCACTTTTGTAGTGGTAATGAAGGTGGCCTATTTCAAACAGTTGACAAGAAAGTGAGAGTAACAGTAGGGGGAAATTAGTATGGGGGAAATTAGTTTTTGTAATGACCCATCCACTCCCAGTCTTTATTCAGGCCTAATTTGATGGTGTCCAGTTTGCAAATTAATTCCAGTTCTGCAGTTTCTCATTGGAGTATGTTTCAGAAGTTTTTTTGTTGAAGAATTGCCACTTTTAAGTCTGTTATTGAGTGACCAGGTAGATTCACTTCAATCTTCTGTTGAGAATAGCCTAGTTCCACTTTAATTGAATTGTCTTGTTAGCACTGACCCCCCACTTGGTAAGGCAACTCCCATCTTTTCATGTACTGTGTATATATACCTGCTACTGTATTTTCCACTCCATGCATCTGATGAAGTGGGTTTAGCCCACAAAAGCTTATGCCCAAATAAATTTGTTAGTCTCTAAGGTGCCACAAGGACTCCTCGTTGTTTTTGCTGATATAGAAAGAACAGAGCACCACATGCAATTTGTGCACTGGGAAGTAAGTATAACTGGAAATTGACTTTATTTCAAGTTTCATAAAAGCTGCAGTGCTGATCTTCTCTACCAGCTATAAAAATGTTTCAAAGGTTTTTTTCAACCAAATATTTTGTCAAATGAAGGGAATTATGGAAATCAAGTCTATACTTATCACAACGTTACATGTACATGTTCATTTCTAAAAAAGTCAGTATTTTATATATTCTCTTCCCCAGTCACAGACATGATCCACATAAAATCTTCCTGCTTAAAAAACCTAGTTTGTATTAAATCCATCTACTTTTACAACACTGGTCATTTTTAATTCCAGCCATCTCTCTTTCTACTATATGATCATTAATATTGAATATTTTATTCTTTAAACATTAAAAAAAATTAATTAAGCCACAAAAGCATGCACATGCCTAAACTGAGACACTCATGTTGCCATCACTTTAACCCCTCCCTCATCACTCCATCCCTCTCTACTATTTGTCTCCCTCATTCCCTCTTGTGCCAGGGCTGACCAAATTTAAGATTGTAAGCTCTTCACTGTACAGACTGTTTCTTTCTTTGTCTCTTTGAAGTTCCTTTCTGGCACTTCAAGAAAAATAAAAAGCAACATTCATGGATTGTTACTCACTTTCAGGTTTTGAATCCACGACTGCATGTTGCATATCTTTCAGCTGCAGCTGCACTCTCTGCAGCCTCTGCTCTGCGTGGAACAGCTTATAAAAGACAATTGACTCTATTGATATATGTACTCTTTTGAAACGCAACAACAAAATATAATATCAACAAGATGCCCAAAATACAAAAAATGGTAACAGTTTGCACCTAGAGAACATCTGTTCCACAAGACAAAGGTAGTATGTTCTTACAATACAAAAACAAATGCTTCAACAATTAATTTAGTTTTATTTGTTGCATTTTAGAATTAAAGAATATAAACTTCTTGAGCTACATCTGAATGATTTTTTCTTTATGGCACAAAAACTCATTTAACAATTTTTTTTAAATCAAAAGATGCTAGTGTTCATGAAGTATTCATGGACAAAAAACAGTAACTAGGATCAGGGAGAGTGAAGGGAGGTACTGGATAAGTATCCTTACAGTGCTTTGGCAATGCGGATGAGTTGTCGCAGCAACCCGCTATAATATTGAGCCAAGTTTGCAAAGACAATGCCAAGTTTGCTGCTAAACAGCACCTGCTTGAAAAGTATTTTTGTGATTTGGACAAATATCCACTAAAAAGTGAAACTAGCTGAACATCAAGTTCATTTTACTTGTGGTCTAATCCAGATGTCAAGCTAGGACTCAACCGCTGAAAGAATCCACTAACTTCTGCACAAGTGCCAAACACAAATGAAGCCTGCAATATTAAAATCTTCGACTTTTTCTTTCAGTACATTTTGCCAGTTTACGTTAGTCGTCAGAAGTTGGCTAGCTGGTATAATAAACAATGCCATCAAACAGCACTGGACTTCGTTAAAAAGTCTTGTTTTGTCAGTGTGACCTGTAAGCAAAATCCAGCCTGCCATTCTGATACCAACCACTTCCAATCAAGCATGTTATATCTATGATACACATGCTCTTCAAGTTGGAAAGACAAAATCGCAAGGTTACTCTTGAACCCACATCCCACACAACAGGCTAGTGCAATGCCATTGTGTTTGTTTCTGCCATTTCCCATCTTTAATCTTAATGGAAACGCATACAAGTACAAACCACATCAAATCAATATTTCCTCACTACAATAAATTCAACCCTCTGTCTCTCAGAAATACAATAATATGGCATAGAACACAGAGTTCTTAAGTGGCCTTGATGTCAGTAGCAGTTAAGACTGCCAAACAGTCTTGAGAGGTGCTCAGCACCTGCTGGATCAAGCCCCTAGTATAGAAATTTACTAAAATATTCCTATTAAAAATAGGTTTTAATTTCCTGGGGGAGCATATAGACACGGTCACCTAATATCATCTTCAGTGTTACTCTTTTAAAAACCTGCCTAGGGCTCATCCCCAAATAAAGCCAAACATTTATTTCCTTATGTTTAACAGATTTGCTTTTACATGGATACCTGATTCTTTTGTTCTTGCTTCTGCTGGGCTAAAGATTCTTCTCTCTCTTTCTCTACTCGAAGCTGTCTTGCTATTTCAAGCATTCGTTGATGGTTTTGCACCGTCTCCACCTACAGCACATGAATAAATAGTGCACGTTACTGTCAGATAGTTGAGAAATAAATTAGTGTGATCATATGTCTCACAAAGCCACTTAGCACTTCCTTTCCACATATATTGCTACTTAGAGATGACAGTAAGGCACTGGATTCAAGGTCCTTAAAAGCTTTGGACTATTGCCTAGGGAAGATTCCCTTTCCGTCAATTAGTTATTCAATTCCTTCCTCAGACATACAGCATGTTCATCTTAATCCTTGTTTGCATTCCTAAATCAGAGTTGCAAGCCAAGGACTGTGACACTGAAATGTTACAATGTTACTTCTCTCATTACCCTCTTCTTAAGACGCTCCACTCTCTTGATGAGCTGATCCTTCTCCTCTTCCATTGCAGTGATATCCTACAAAGCAGCAAAAATAAACAAAATACTAATGTACTTACAATATTATATTATAATATAGGAGTTGAGCCAGATTCTGTTACAGTCACGTAAACGTGGAGTAAGCAAAATCTGAATCTGTCCTTTTACATACTGATACACTTGCAACTTCATTGATTCATGGTCTAATCATTCAAGGCTCCAGTCCCGCTCTCTCTTTCGTCTTATCACTCCAACCCTCATAATCTTTATGTAGAACAGGCTAGATGACAGCATAGCATTCACCATGTAATTATTGTGCACATTTAAAATGTGAGCACATGGATTTCTTTGATGATTAGAAAAATAAAAACATGAAGACAACTCCAAATTCGATCCTGTAACATGTATGCCCTTAAAAGCTGCCATTATGTCCACTTCTATGCAGATAGATGTTTGAATTCCAGTTTTGCATTCAGTTACATAAGAGAGCTGCATTCTGCCATTTTTCCAGTGAAATTACATTTAAAGAGATACAATGATGTGAGAAGAGAAACAGAGTAAAACAATGGAGAGACATCACTCTAAAAGAAGGGCAAGTGAGAACAGTAATCAGACCCATGGTTTATAAACAGTGACTATATATTTAGGCCACAATCCAGCATAGCACTTAAACACATGCTTAACTTTAAGCACGCAAGCAGCCCCACTGAAAAGCTAGGCATGTGCTTTTCTCCATTAGGGTCTTTATGAAAATACCATTATTTAATAACACCACCACCTAGATTATCATAACTGAAATAACTTTTATAATTGAGTTTACTTTTCAACATTTCTGTTGCTTTCAACTGACTCCTAAGTCATTTAGGTGCTTCTGAAAATGTTACCCTACATTACTAAAGAAAGAGGTTTTATAGACAATGTGCGTTCTGAGGGAAATGTAGTGTTAGTATTTGAAAATCTATTATTGAGGCCAGTCCTATGTCTTGGCAGCACTGCTTCACAATGTGCTGCAGAAGACCTAGTTCTGAGCGTGACCTTAGGTCTCGTCTTCCTTTGTCAGCAGAGAACTAGTCCAGCTAAGCAGAACAAAGCTGCAGTATCTATTAGCACTGACCCGTACACACTAGGTACTGCAGTGGGCCCATGGAACTGATGAAAATGAAACAAACTGACTTAAGATACAATCTGGACAAAACTGTTGCAAATCTATGTTTCCTTTGGGTTGTTGTTTTTTTTTTTACCCGTCTTATTTCTGCAGTGGAGAAGCCAGAAGTCTTGAGCTGCTCACATTCCTTATGCAAGTTTTTAAAGGCTTCCATCAGATCTTCATACTACAAAACACAAGAGAAAGAAAAACTTCAAAGCCAGCACTGTACTAATAGGTTGCACATCACTGCATTGCTTTTTAGTAATACCATATGTGCACAAAGATCAGCAATGTGAACACAGGGTCATTTAGCTGTTTTCTCATCTGAAAAATAGTCAACATATAAAGCAGACATTCACATTTATTACATCATTGCAGGGAACAACCTTTTATTTGAGGGTGCCCTCAGGAACCCCACAATTTCTCCCCTGCTTTAATGCTTTTCTCAGTGACACATATTGCAGCCAACATAGTTCTAACTAAGGAAGACTTGCTTGGCTCCATGGGGAGATAATCCATGTATGTCCTCAGTAAGAGTTATTGGTCGGTTGATGTATGGCTCTCCCTAGGTCTGAGTACACTTCCTGTGTAACCCTAACAGCCCAGAGAGGAAAATCTTGATCTGAGAATGCAAATACAAGTTTCACAAGCTTCTTGATCCTGCAAGGTTCTGACCACTTTGGCATCACTCCAACAAAGCACTTAAGCACGTGAGTAATCCCATAGAATGTAATTGGGGCCAGAGTGCTTAGCCCTTGCAGAATTGAGACCAATGTGCTCAGATGCTACAGTGAGTGGGGCAGTACAAATACTACAATAGATTTGATAGAAGATAGTATACCACATGCTACTTCAAGACATTGCGTTCCCACCAGCGATCCTAAACTGAGAGTCAATGTGAAAGTAAGTGCAGGTAGAGAAATAATACCAGAAGACCTAGAGAGTTTAGAAATATAGATAGGAAATAAAATTAGATTAAATTTGGAAAAATGCAAACTAACATCCAGGGAAAGATAATGCCCACAGAAACACAGACATTAAATAAGATGGAGAAATCTAAAAACTGACCTGCAAGTGCTCTCTTACTCCCTTGCAAGAGCAAATTAGATATTAATCTTCAACACAATATGGGAAAAGTATCATATTTCAAAGCAGTGAAGTGATTATTCCTTTCTAAATAACTCTGGTGAGACAGCAACTGGAATACTACATTCTGTTCTAGGCACTTCAATATCAGACACATACTGACAAAGTGGAAGGAATTCAGAGAATAACAACAAAATTATTAAGGGCTTGAGGGACTGATTTACAAGAAAATAGTAAAAGATGAAATACATGTAGCATGGCTAAGTGACAAATAGAGAGAGAGACACGATAAGATGTATGCATCAATGATGACAAGGAATTATTTACAAAGAGGTGGGAGTAGAAACATGACTAAGGGCTTGTCTATATGGGACATTACTTCATGACAAGCCAGATATTAATCTACAGTGGACACTACTACTGCACACTAAAAGTTCCATAGTGTGCTTTGATGTAGTGTTGACTGAAACGGGATTATTTCAAAGTGCACTACAGAACTTTTAGTACACTGTGGTACTGTCCATCTAGGACATTACTGTGCGTCCAACGGTTGCGCTATAGAGTCACACCCTGGCTTACTATGCAGTAACATCCTGTGTAAACAAGCCTTGGAGTAGTGGGGTGAAATTGTCGCCTTTAGGTACTATGGCAGTATAAATGATGATCAATAATAATAATACAAGAAAAATTGATGATGATGATAATGAAAGCTTTCATATACAGAGATCAGTTAGTTTGTGGAACAGTTTCCAAGGGCAGTGATGGAAGTCCAGAGCTTGGGACATTTGAAATAGGACTGGCTAAAGCCCTAGAAAAGTATACTATAAACAACAATCTTGCACTGGTATCTGTGGATGATCAGATTATCTGGAAGGGCTTTTCCATTTCTATTTTCTATGATCCTTCTTCATTTGGGATCCAGAGACACTGGATAGTTACATACTCATGGTGAAGTGTGCATAGTTGGTATTTTCTTTGGCTTTCTTTTGTTGCTTGACAGATTCCTCTTTCCAAATGAGGCACTATCCAGGCAAGAGGCTGCACTCAGATGATCCACCTCTCAGTAGCTCATGGGCTGAGAGGCTTAAAGCCAATAGTATCCACAAGGGAAAGACTCAGTATTTCATGAATGGGGGATACACTTGAGTGAAGGCCAGTATAGTATGTTGGACCATAACAAGAGTATGGTTAGCCAGTTTCATTGCATGGAACTACCAGTGGCAGCTGGAGAAGGAGTACACACAGCACATGCAACAGGAGACACACACAAGCAACCCAAGAAAGCTTATAGGTTCAGTGATGGCATGACTATCAATGCCATGGGGGCAAGTTCATCAGAGATTTAGGTCTATATTTTCTTGGTTATTTAATATAAACTACAGTAAATTTGATTTCCAGATCACAGCATAGCCTGGAAACTGGTAATTTCTTCAAGTCACTTGCTTAAGTAATTGGAAAAATACAATTAAGCAAAGTACCGTATACCAAAGAAACCTGCATTAGCTATGCTACTTCCAAGAAGTCATTTGTGAATTGTTGATGTCTGTCCCTAAAATACAATGTTGTACATTTGCATAGCCAGATACAGTCAGTGAAACTCGATTAACTTCATCAGCATTTAAATACTCTCACATGGTAACGTCAAATTGCATAAAAGCTGGTATATTATTCCAGCTTCTATTTTGAACTAGTCATTACAGTATTAGTTTAATAATATAGTTATATTATTCTAATCCCAAAAAGGAACACAATTTACGTAATGGAAACAAGAGAGTTGGATATTTATACAAATTAGGACTGCCACATACTGAACAAACATACAATCTACATTCCTTTTTCTAACTGCTGCTTCTGTTTAGTTATTTTAAAGTTATAAAATCAGAGATTGACGATGGTAAACAAAAAAAAGGGGGAGGGGGCAGGGTTGTCCAAACCTGCATGCAGCTATACAGCTTTCGTGATGCATAAGTATAATGAGTGCTACTTGTTACAAACATTCCATAATATTGATTTCATGAATGCCTGTACCTAATTAAATGCACTAAAAATACTGCATAGAAATTAAGTAACCATGTAACTCAGATAATAGAAATCTGAACACACATCTTAATTACATTTCATTGGCTTTAAATTTCAGATTTCAGACCCACCCAATTTGATTACTTAAGATCCACATTTAAGGTTCACAAAAAAATGCTGGAATGTCATCCTTGACAACTGAAGTCCTTTGTTTATCCACAGAACATAGATATCTGTCTGCTAGAAATTGGATAGCCCACCAATGCATTTTACTTGAGTAATCAAAAAGCAATCAGAAGACAATGGCATGTAGTCACTAATGTCCAGGGACAGATTACGAGTTACCTACAGTGAAAAACTCCCCGGCCTTGTCTAGAATAGGAAAAACGTATGTTAGCTCAGATATTAAAAACTTGGTCATGGTTTTTTAAAAGTGTTAAACCCTGTGTACATTAGGTGTTAACAAGGTTTTGAACACCACTTATTTAAAAGGTGTAGCTAACACACTTTTAAAAACACATTTTTTCTTAGTCTACTCAAGCAATAATCCCCTAAACCATCCCTTTTTGCCCTTCCTTTTACCTATTTTATTAATTTAAAATAATAGCCGGGTAGCAAATTCATCTAAAACATTACCTGTTTGTTGGTGTCGGCCACAGTATCATCCTGAAGAAACTCAGCTGGCACTTCAAGTTTAATTAAGAAACGTGCCAGATAGGCTCTTTTCTTGAGTTCATTAGTCCGTTGAAGGAGCCAGTATAAGACAGGATGAATCACAGGTTTGCTTCCAATAACTAAACCCTGGCGGAATGTACTCCTAAATAATAATAAAAAACAGTAAGTCTCCAACTAAAGAACACTGCTTTGGAACAAACACTATTAGCAATTTTTATGATTCCCTCCCCCACCTGCTAATGCTTTTCTCTAATGTTGCTGCCAGTTTGCTGACCACAGACCTGATTCTGCTGCCCTTATGCAGGCAGAATTCCCACAGAAGTCAGTGAACAAAGATTGCAATGGATCTTGTGTTTCTGAGGTATCCTCCAGAAAACTAGAAGATCTGAGAATGGCCTGGGTTACCAAACTACAAAGTGGTACAGGATGAGTGTAGTACAGACTGATGTGCCTGGTCTCTAAGGGAAGGTGATGACCCTACTAGTCATACAGCACCCTCTACTGGCTAACCTATTGAATATCACAAGATACAAAAGCAAAGGTAGCACAACTGTGGAGCAAACCAACAAGGACAGGATTGAGAAGCAACTCCCAAACCCTTCAATTCTTTACTATCACAAGCAAAGTGTGCCATATACTATACATCTCCTAGGGGTTAATGGAAGAAATATTTTCAGAACATCTGCATATTAAGTGGAACAATCAGTTTCTATACTTGAGTGATTGACACTACTATTTAAACAGTAGAATAAAACAATAACTTTTAAACAGAGATATATTGATGAATGAGTCTGAAAGTGAAAGAATTTGGTACAAATATATAATTTTCTCTTTAAACCAAGAAAAGAATATTTGCAATGTCAGAAGAATTAATAAGACAGACCTTCAAGTAACAAATTATAAAATCTGAAGACATACAGTATTTTTACATAGAGTAGATCATTTTAGTATTTGTCTGCAATTAAAATAGACAGTCAAAAAAGCAAACAGGATTTTAGGAGTCATTAAAAAAGGGATAGAGAATAAGATGGAGAATATGTTATTGCCCTTGTATAAATCCATGGTATGCCCAATCTTGAATATTGCGTACTGATGTGGTCTCCTCATCTCAAAAAAGATATACTGGCATTAGAAAAGGTTTAGAGAAGGGCAAATAAAATGATTAGGGGTTTGGAACAGGTCCCATATGAGGAGAGATTAAAGAGGCTAGGACTTTTCAGCTTGGAAAAGAGGAGACTAAGGGGGGATATGATAGAGGTATATAAAATCATGAGTGGTGTGGAGAAAGTGAATAAGGAAAAGTTATTTACTTGTTCCCATAATATAAGAACTAGGGACCACCAAATGAAATTAATGGGCAGCAGGTTTAAAACAAAGAAAAGGAAGTCCTTCTTCACACAGTGCACAGTCAACCTGTGGAACTCCTTGCCTGAGGAGGTTTTGAAGGCTAGGACTATAACAGGGTTTAAAAGAGAACTAGATAAATTCATGGAGGTTAAGTCCATTAATGGCTATTAGCCAGGATGGTAAGGAATGGTGTCCCTAGCCTCTGTTTGTCAGTGGGTGGAGATGGATGGCAGGAGAGAGATCACTTGATCATTACCTGTTAGGTTCACTCCCTCTGGGATACCTGGCATTGGTCACTGTCGGTAGACAGGATACTGCGCTGGATGGACCTTTGGTCTGACCCAGTATGGCCATTCTTATGTTCTTATGACTTATTTTGCCATTATCTATAAACAAGCTGGTACTTACAAGTCAGTAATACTTCCTGGAGGTTTGTATTTAAGGATACCAAGAAGGCTCAACATTCGTTTAGCTGTTTGCTCTGGCATCTCCTCTCTTATGTCAACAACATGCTGAAAAGCAAAAAAAACAAATATTGTATTACCATGCATAGGTCAAATTGTTAGCCACACAGATCTAAAGGAAGGGACTTGATCCACCCATTATATGATATATTATAACATGTGACTGACATAAGTGAGGTGTCACATACAGAACACCACTCTAAGAGCCAAATTCTGACTCCCTTTGGACTCTTTCCCCATATGTGTGCTTAGGCAACTTTATTTCAGACCCATATTCTGGCTGGCCATAGGCCCACAGTCTGCCAGTCATACAGATTACTTCTGCCAAGAGTAACAGTAATCCTGACAAGACGATTACATTGTGGGCAAGGTCATTACTCAGATATATGGCCCACACCTTCTGATCTAAAAACCTATTCCCTTCCATAGGTCAGCACTCATAGAACCGGAAGTTGGATTGTGGACTGTCAGCTCCTTTGCTTTGTTGGGCACAAGGGTGAAAGTTGCATCCCAGAGTTCACTTTCTGATCATTTCCCACACTATACATGTGACCAACAGCCAGCCAGAATTTTGTCCTTTAGATGAAAGAAATGTAAATATGAATAAGATCAAGATTCACATTCTGATTTCTAATCAGAAATTTAAGATGGTTGGTCTTCAGCATTTTCTAGTTTGCCAAAAAATAACTAGATAGAAAGGATAATCTTCTGGATGTGCACATTTAACTCTTTAAGACTAGCACAATCTACATATGGAAAGCAAACATATGCCATAAAATATACAACATTAGCTGTAAATGGAGGTTTTCTGCATGATTTCTGCTTTCACCACTCTTGAGAGCAAGCCTTCTAATGCCCATGTTTAAACTCCATCCTTACCTTTGGGTCAATCTCCCCCAGAACATCATTGAGAAGCTGCAATAGCTGCATTGACTCCAGTGAGTCAAATGTGATTAAATTATAGTTCTTCTTAAAAGGCTCCTTATTGAGCTTCTCAACAATTGATTTGATTTGATCACTCATAATTGGGTCCTGAAAATAATCCTGCAGAAAAGAGAGCGGGAGGGGGGAAAATCCACTCAGTAGAACAGATGTAATGACATATGTGAACCTCTGTAGGCCATAAAACTCCTGTGATGGATGCATAGAGCTAGGGGGAGAGAGGGATGCTGCAAGATAGGAAGCACCCAAACCCTGTCTAATACATTGCCTTTTATCATGAGGGCTTATCTACACTTGAAACTGTAGCACTTCAGTGCAGACATTACCTACACCAGTAGGAGGAGTTTTCCCATGGGGATAGCTAATCCACCTCAAGAGGTGGTAGTTAGGTCGTTGGTAGAATTTTTCAATCGACCTAGAGCTGTCTACGAGAGGGTTACATTGACTTAACTAGTCATGCAGCAGTGTGGATTTTTCATACTCCTGAACGACCTAGCTGGGTTGACCTAACTTTTTAGTTTAGACCACAGAAAGAAATGTACACTGAAACATTCGTATTTACTAGCAAAAAGTAGTTCATGGACTCAAGAAGCCCTTGTGGGTCATCTCAGCCTGGCTGCAATTACTGCATAGGGTCTCTGTAGCAGAGACCTTTATAGATACTAGATGGACCCCATAGCCTCCCCCACACAGAAACCGACCCCTATGGGAGACAGAGGAACCCCAGATCCTCCCCCACAGCAGGGACTGACCCCTACGGGTGCCAAGGGAATCCCAGATCCTCCCCACAGTGAGGAACAAGCCCTATGCACTCCAGTGGACCCCAGATCCTCCCCACAGCAGGGACTGACCCCTAGGAGTGCCGGGGGGGGGGGGGTGTCTCATCATTCTGTACAGTGGGACTGATGTGGACCCTGTATCAATCCCCTCAGCAGAGACCGATTCCTTTGGGGACCTGGGGGAACCCATATCAATTCTCACAGAGGGACCTGATCCCACTGGCTGCCGGGAGCCCCTGTATTCTTCCTTGCAACAGAGACCGACCCCCCGGGATGGTGGGGAGAGTCTGGATCCTTCTCCAGAGTAGGACACGCCCCCATAGCTGCCCGGGGCTCCCCATTTTACTCCCAACAGCCGGAACTGCTGGGATTGGGAACCTTGTATCTAGCCCATCACCGGGGCCGACCGCAAGGGACCTCGGCGCTGCCCCCTGCAGGGGTCAGGCTGCTCGCCGGAGGACCCCACCCCCTCGCCCCAGCCCCCGTTACCTGACCTCCTGCCCCAGTTACCCGTTGTCGTTCCCCCCTCCTCCTTCTTCTTCTCCCCAAGAGTTTTTCTCCTAGTTACCAGGCCCTTGGTAACGGTTGCTAGGGCAGAGTGGAACCCTTACTTCCGGTCACGTGGCGTACATGACGACTGGCGTACAGGAACGGGCCATTGCGCTCCAAGCCGGGGAGGAGAGGAGGCGGCGCATGCGCAGCTTGCGGCAGTGAAGGGCGCTGGGGTGGTCTCTGCTTCCCCACAGGTGCAAGGGGAGGGAGTGGGAGTTCATCCAGGGGAGCTCTAGGGTTACTTCCAGAACTTTCCCTACACCACAGTCAGTGCCCATTTCTGTTGGGGCGTATCAATAACTCGATCTCCTACTGAGCCCTTTTCATCAGGAGGTAACAAATTGCTTTCCAATAATTATTCAATTAAGTCTCTAGGCCCAAATAATTCTCTCATTTGACAAAGGAGTAAAATGAGGAAAGGAGAATGTTTGTTTCGGTTTTCTTTTTAATTTGGACCTGATTACCCTAGTATCTGAATATCCATAATTGCTAACAAATAAATATGAATCTCATTGGAGAAAATAACTGTGTAACCCATTTCAGGCAGGTGGGTGCATATACCAGTCTTTGCAATGTTAGCATCTCTGGAATTCCAAAATGATTCCAGTTGTATTAAAAAATAAATAGCTTGCTATCTGTTAATCATCCCCTTCTAATGTTTATTCTTTTTCAAAATCAGGGTGCATAAACTGATTTGCAAATGTAAAGAATTTAACTTTGTATTTCTTATTTTATTTTCTGATATGTTGTATGTGAGCTGTGTTTTCTGTTTCAGAGATGGAGAGCTTAATTCTCATCTCATTCTAGTGCGGCTCCATTAACTTCAAAGGATTTACACCTGTATAATATCCCACTCCTGAAAAGATTAATGCATAGGACTTCATAAGAATAGCCATATTGGGTCAGACCAATGGTCCATCTAGCCCAGTATGCTGTCTTCTGACAGTGGCCAATGGCAGGTGCTTCAGAGGGAATGAACAGAACAGGTGGTAATCAAGTGATCCATCCCCTCTCATCCATTCCTAGCTTCTGGCAAACAGAGGCTAGGGACACCATCCCGGCCCATCTTGGCTAATAGCCATTGATGGACCTATCCTCCATGAATTTATCTAGTTCTTTTTTGAACCCAGTTATAGTCTTGGCCTTCACAACGTTCTCTGGCAAAGAGTTCCACAGACTGACTGTGCATTGTGTGAAAAAATACTTCCTTTTGTTTCACCCTTTAAAAACTAGATCATGTTCCTTTGCTACTAGTAGTCTTTATACTGACCTTTAGTAATCCTATTTACTTACTAGTTCCTGGAAGAGATTCACTTTCCTTTCACATGCTTTCCTGATTTTTTAAGCTCTCTTTTCCTCAATTGAGTGTTTAGAATATTTGTATTACACAGGGGGAGTAACTTGAGAGTGTCTTCCTGTGGAGCTACTGTTCCCAATTCTAGCCCCTACAGGCTGCTCTGGTGTTGTATAGGAACCATAAAGGAGCCACAAACGACCAGGGGAGAATTCCCCCAGTGCTGGAGCAGCATAGAGGTGACATAAGCCCCCCTTTGCCAGTCCCAGTGAGGGGATGTGCCTGTAGCATTCAGAGCTATGAGGATTCTGGGGTGTGGCACAGCCACAAGGAGGCTGCTGCTGAGGTTCTTCTACCTTACACCACAGACTATTTCAGCCCCCACAGGGCCCAACATCAAGGCAACATACAAGTAGCTTAAAGCCAGGTTTGCCATATCCCCTTGGGCTGCGTCTCTCAAGAGGCCCTGCACAGAATCTGCCCCATTCATGTTTATCGAGAGCACAAAGAGTATTCAGGGAAAGGAGTGGGTTTGAGTGCCATATAAAGTGTCAACATAAAAACAAAACAAGATCAAAATACCTGTCTATCCTAGTATAAGCGTTTGTGGGTTGCTAATTCAAACCCTGGTTGAGGTGAAGGAAGGAGGGAGCCAAAACGCAGAAAGTCATTAGAAATGGGCCTTTATAGTCACATCTAGCGTGCTTCTGGCACCTCCCCTCTGAAAACCTTACTGTGAAGACAGGAACATAGGTGTGGTCAGGCCAAGTTCTGATTCCATAGATCTTTCCTAGTTGGGAGGAGGGTGTGGGGTGGCACAATGTGAGAAGGCCACGGAGGATCCTGAGGCAACCTTTGACCTGTGTGGCTTCATAGCCCTTTCTTCTAGGGGTCCCACACTATGCACACACCCAGCCTAAACCAGCCAGAGTGCTATCTCCAGGGCTAGCGCAACCCATTAGGCAACCTAAGTGGTCGCCTAGGGCGCTAACATTTGGAGGGCGGTGACTGCGGCGGCCAGATCTTCGGCTGCCCCGGTTGGGGGCGGCATTTCAGGGGCGGGACCTTCTTCTGCCCCTGTTGGGGGCAGCATTTTGGGGGCAGGACCTTCCGCCTCCTAGAGCAGCAAAAAAGCTGGTGGCGCTCCTGGCTATCCCAGATTTCCACATCCAGAGTCTGTCTGGCTCCAGTGCCAACAGGCCAAAGCAGAGCCTGAGTTCCCTAACTACCAGCTCTCCCTCCCTCCGTCTGCTTAGAAAATCAAGCTTTATCTCCATCTCCTGGCTTTCTGGCATCACAACATAGGCCATGAAACTTCACACACATGTGAGAGGGCTGATGTTTTCCAGAGAGTTGCAAGCAGGAGGCAGCTGGGATATATGGGTCATGTAGGTGAAGCGATATCTGGAGGGTCCCACAAAACATAGGTGGGTGGTTCGGTGGCTCTTATACACACCCAGGTGTAGCATCCATATCCCCTAGAATAGTTCAGATGGAGGTGTCACAGGCATTGGAACAAGGTTTCCTAATTTTATTACAGTGGTACACAATACTGTATTCATCCCTAAAGCTCTTATTCAGGTGGCAAGTATCAGAGGGGTAGCCGTGTTAGTCTGAATCTGTAAAAAGCAACAGAGGGTCCTGTGGCACCTTTAAGACTAACAGAAGTATTGGAGCATAAGCTTTCATGGGTGAATGCCCACTTCATCAGACGCAAGTACTGGAATTTTCCAGAGGCAGGTATAAATCAGTA